TATATATCGGAATGACTTTTCATTTAATATCATTTGGGAGGACATTTTTTCTCCATTGTTATATTTTAATTATAAAAGTTTCTAGCGTATCATATAAATTTTTAGCATAGGAAAATTACCGAAGGAAGAATTTCCGAAAGGTTGGGAATATATCTCATAATTTAAAAAAAAAAACAATTTCAGCGTTAAAATTCTCAATTCAGTTTAAAAATCAAAGGATTAAGTATTTTTGGAAGTATTTTGAAAGAAGAATAGAATATGATTTTTTTTAAGAACTTCTTGACATTTTTTTCTTAAAAAATGAGCTAGAATGTCTCTGTCCATGGACATTGCTCCATCCACAGTAGTTTAGTTTATTTTTATTAACGTCGAATTAGAAGCAACACGAGGGCTATTGGCGACGGACCTCGTAATTTTGAACCACGGTCAAGTGACGAGGACTATAGCTGAGCTGGCACCCCCCTCTGCTAACATCAACACCACGCCAAGGGGGGGACTTTGGGCCCCGACAGATTTAACGTGCATCAACCCCGGCTACACTGAGGGTCTTTGTCAGTCAAGGGTCGAACCCGCGACTGAACGAAAACCGCCGGCCACGAATCCGAACACCATGACCTCTAGGTTACCGCGGCCACTCCAAGGAAAGCAATACCGTTGTCATCAAAACAGTTATCGTCCTTTAATAAAAACTTATTTAATGCGAAACATTATCAATTTCTGATAAATATCTGTCAAAAGTCTTGATAGGGAATAATAGTTCTTTATACTCTGAAATTAAAAGAATATTTTTGCTTAGAAGACTGATAAATCACATTTCTTTAGCTTGATTTAAAGATAGATTGTAATGTTTTTAAAATTTGCTTTAAGAAATATCATTGTTGTCCATTATATATTTCAAGTGAAATTATTGTGTATGCGGGGACAGACTCCATAATTCAGAAAGTATGTTTGAAATTGTATAGTCTAAATTTCCTTTTAAAATTAAATAAAGAAATAATAAATTATGTAACTGAAGGATTTAAATTTTAAAAAATTGTACTTAAACATTTGAATTTCAGAAATAAGTAATTAATCTCATTTAAAAAAAAATTATTAAAGATGAATGAAACTAAAAACAGCAATTTTGAAACATTTATGATTTTGAAAAGAACCACGAATGATAACGAGAGAAATATCAGTATTTTAATATAAACTTTTCAAAAATAACGAACTCGGTGTCTTTTCAGAGATTTTAATGGTTTAATATAATATTTGACATTAACTAATCGAACCTATTTAGAAAATTATTTATCAAAAATTCATTAAGTGAATTGCATTGCAAATAATTGCAACTGATACTATTCCAAGATTGTGTATAGTTTTCTTTTACTACAGAATACTACAAAACTTTTATTTGAAAAAAGATAGGAGACAGCTTATTAAAAAAATATCTACAGTTACCTGAAATTTTAAAAATATTTCAAAATGAATGGTAATGCATGCATTATTTTTTAGCAAATTTGAGTATATTTAATTAAAAAGTATGTGTGATATATTTTTATAAATTTGATGTTTCAAAACAGATTTTCAGATAGAAATGTTTAATAAAGTCGAAATAGTATGGAAATTTTAACATATTCCTTATCTTTAATATTAAAATTTATTCCACAATACATATTCCTACGTATTTTATTTTCAAACTTAATATTGAATATCTAATGCAATATCAATTTTATTGAAAATTCTCATGCATATTTAAAAATAAAATTTAATGAACGAATTTGTCTCACATTTTATATAGCATGCAAAATATTCAGAACATTTCGTTGAAATGGTTAATATTTTATTTATTTCTTCTATTACAGATATTGAATGAAGCTACATTTGAAATTTTTTAATGAATTTTTCAGTAACTGACTAATCTTTGCTCAGAGTCTAAAATAGTTTTTAAGAAAATTATACCTTTCATTATTATTAAGTAAAATTCCGAAGAGTTTTTCCGAACCACTTCTAATTATTGTCCATTTAATGATTAATTTTCTTGTGATAATTTTCAACTGGGCAAGTTCAGGAAAAACAAATTAAAATTCATTTGACACGTCAAACATTTTAAAGTAAGGAAAGGAAATTTCTTTTTACACATGGACACTCATTCATTCCTACATCGATAACTATGAAAACTCATTATGAGTAAGGGAAAAAGAAAATTAAGAGAAATATGCCAGTAACATAGAAATCTGACTTTTAAACTGTAGTTTTGTGTGTAAAATTGAGTAAACTGATCATTTTTTGCTATCATTTCAATAGCTGAGTTAAGTAGAAGAATAATTACTACAAAATAATTATTATGAAATAGTTTTATGTAGCTTTGTGAAAATGATCTCTTGTACAGCTTGTTTATATGTTTGTTTCATGAATCTATTGTTGACCTATATTCCATACATTAAAGTTGAGGATTGTTGATAGATAAACAATTTTATAATTTTTAAGCCGTCTAGCTATTTTCTGGTAAAAAAACGTCTTTCTCTGGTTAAAATGAAGAATAAAATGCAATTATGGTAATTTTACGTTTGACAACAATTTTATTCAGGTTTTTTTTTTTTCTTTTTGCTAATTATTGATAAAAGTTTCTTTTCTGTAACCCTTTACATATTTTCACGACTTATTTTTAAAGTCATTCAAAAAATTGCCAAAATTGCCAATCTAAACCTTATATTTTATTTGAGCCTCTTTCCTCAGTTCTTCTAATTTAAGTTCTTATACAAACAGCTTAACAACTTGTTTTATCCACATTCAAACAAACATAATATCCAAGTCAAAATTGACTTTTTCATTCCCAAAATGGTGTTTGTGCATTTAAGAGAAACGCATTTATGTAAGAAAGTAACAAACACACAGGGAAAAAAATACTCTTCTTGAATTAAACCACTTTCGCAATGAATCTCAATTCTTTCTCCCCATAGCCTTTTTCCATCTATTTGCTACCTTTTAGTTTCCCCTGAAACAGTGCGTAACAGGTTCGAAGTTATAAAAACAAATTGTTGGAAAACAGCGTCACATTTGTTTGCTCTTGTAGAATGTTCTTTTTCGCCAGGCGAAATGTAACCACAAGTTAGCGGAATCAAATTCTGGAAGCTAAAGTAAAAAGGACGTTTGTAAATAAAATATAGCTTCTTGTTGACTTGGAAAACAGCCATTTTACTATTTTTGGGTCGTTTCTGGGACTCTATTTCACACTACAGTAAACGATAAATGTTCACAAAATGCCTTTAAATTTACTTTCAAAACGTGCATTGGGTGTTGATTCGGGAGATGCAATCTCTGAAATGATATAGTTGTCTTGATTTTTAACCTCATCTTTTTTTTTTTTGATTTTATTCCGTTTGTAGAAAAAGAAATGATGTGATTTCATGATTTGATTACATATTCGATGCATTTATTTATGACATACGAGGATTATTTTTTTAAAAAAAGAGGAAATGGAAGTAAATTATAATTCCCTTCACTCCCATTTTGAATTTTCAGCAAGGAATTTTAGAAAATCTTCATTTAGCGCAGTAAGAGGAATATTTCGTGCGAAAATATATTTTACTTATAATACGTATACGTTTTCGAAAAATGTAAAATAAGTATGTGATATTATTTATAGTTATTTTTTTCAGTTTCATGTGAATCTTTAGAGAATATTTACTAGAAGAAGGAAAAAAATTGTTTTTAATAAAAGATGAGATATTTAAATGCTAATATTTATTGTATTGTTAAAAACAATAATTATACTATTTCTAACTATTTTTAATAATTTAAAACTTCATGCTAATAACATTTGTGCCGTAAGATAGTATATTTGATTTAGCAAGAGGGGTGAGTGTATGCAAAAATAATACAGAATGAAAATGCAGTTTGAGAAATATGTCAAGTAACATTGTTGTTTTATTTACATTTCGTAATCATTAATCAGTCCTATATAAATTCATGCATTTATTCTTAAAGCTTTGCTACAAGTTACATGAAAATAACTGTGAAATTAGTTGTGTTGAGCTTAGAGAGCAAAATTAGCAAAATTTAAATTAATTTAAAAAAAATACAAGAATAAAAAAAAAAAAAAACTTTTAAGAAATGCAGATTTGCTTTGAAGAAAAAAGGCTTTGAAATACTAAATCAATTTGATCTCTAGATTGATAAGAAAAATCAATCATTTATGAATATCGGGATACATTATTTATAATTATATATAACACTAACATTTTTAATGAGAAAGAAACCTTTTATAGAACAACAACTTACATGCTTGGTTTAGTACCCAAATCTAACGTTATTTAGTAAATCACAAATAAAATCAACATGAAAACCTATCCGAATCGAACATATTAGAATTTTGTATTGCAAGTAAAACATGTTTTTTAATATTAATTTCTCATATGTTTGAGGTAAGTGGTGAGAGATCTTTCTCCTTTTTACTAAAAAAAAATTTTCAAATGTTTTTCAGTATATTCAGTACAATTTTTTGTATTAAGTCAGTTAATGTAGATATGTAACAAGTTTAATATGTTAAACATTAGAAAAGAGTAAAACCCCAACTTTAAGTTTCATTTCATTTGAAGGGATCATTTTTACACTGGAGCTGCATTGTAGACATTAAGCAACAGATAATTTTTAAAAACAATTAATTGATAATATATTTACCCAAGAGTTATGCCTTGCTTTAAACATTTTGTCTCTTTACCTGATGAAACTGAGATCCTATTTTCATTTATGCTATTTCAGGAATTCCTATTTATTAATGGGTTTTCTTCTACTCACATTGTAACTATGTCTGGGTCAAAACTCTAAAAGCTTTTTCTGACATTTTAAAACGCTCAATTGAGCTGAAATTTCTTATAAATGATTGTTTTGGGTGACAATACGATAATTTAGTTACAATTAATACAAATAAATTGATTAAAACTAATTGTTTAAAGAATTAAAGTTAACTCGTAATTCCAATTGTTTACAACATGAAACAGAGGAGTGCTGAAGCAATTGAAGTGTAGCTCCGCGGTAGAGCATTCGCTGTGCTTGTGAAAGGCCCTGGGTTCGATTTCCAGCTCCTACAAAAGTGATTGTTTCCTTCCTTAATAGGTTTACTTCTACTCACATTGTAACTACACCTGTTTCAAAACTTTTTTTCTCCCATTTAAAAGCGCTGATTGAGATGAAAATTTTTATTCCTTATTTTGGGAGGCAATATGATAATTTAATTATAATTAATAAAAATTCAGTGATTAAAACTAAATACTCAAATAATTAAATTTTACTCTTAATTCCAATTGTTTACAACGTGAAACAGTGGAGAATTATAACCAGCAAATTAAACTATCCCCTCATAAAATTTTAAGGTATAAAAAATTACGTTACGCAAAGTGTGAAGTTTGAAAGAAAAATCCACGTCCAGAAAACTTGTTTTTTACCAGTATTATTTTAGTCTTGATCTTCAGATGAAAAAGAGTTAAATAAATGCAAGAAAAAACATTTTTAAATCGAGCTTTTATTTGAAGATGTATTAAAAATATAAAAATAATTTCTTTAAGTGTAAAATAATTTATAATTTAGAAATTGATTGATTGATTGTTAATTAACGTCGCGCTGATAAACAACACGAGGGCTATTGGCGACGGACCTTGTAATTTTGAGCTTTGGGCATATATCGAAACGATCTCTGAGCTAGTCCCTCCCTCTTTTGACTTTTACACCCGCCACGGGAGAACTTGGAACCTCGACAGATCTAACATGCATCAAACCCCCTATACGCAGGTCTAAAGTGGCATTAGGGCTCGAATAACCGAATTGACGTAACGCCTGCCGTAAATCCGCGACCATGACCACTAGGCCAACGTGACCTATAAATTATAACAACTTGAAGCATTATTATTTCTTTTGATCTGATACACAAGTAAGTGACTATAGTACTTCTGTGTGCTATCTTTTATTACCTAGGTATCTTAGTTAAGTGCCTCCACATCTTATAAATTATA